CTATGGAGGATCCAGTCCATGACACCGGTGCTCGCTGAGTCTGACCGCCTCCTTTTAATTCCCTGCGGCTCCAGCGGTGACGCACTTTATGTAGAGCCGAGCTGCTACCGCTTCCGGTGCAGCTGCTTCCGCTTCCGGTGGAGCGCCGCAGAGGCTGCAGGCAGACCTCCCTCTCCTCGGACGGCTCTGCGGTGTCGGTGTCCCGGAGTGTCGGACCCAGCAGCGGGCTCCGTGAGGCGGCCTCTCTGGGTCCCACCAGCCGGTGTTTCCTCGGTGAGCATCGGTGCGGGTTTTCCTCTAATGATGGCTGAATGAGCTGACCGCTGGGACAGTCTGGAGCTGCTGGTAAGACACTGGGATGGCGGGGGTGCTGCAGGGACAGAGAGGGTCCAGATGCTGGCTGTCCTCATGTTGTCCCCTGGGACAGCAATGATCCAGGATGGAGACTAAATGCTGGAGCCATTCAGGCAAAAAGCTCCGCTCCATTCATCAGGGCAGCGTCCAATCAGCATCAGCCTTTGGATTGGAGGGGGGGGGGGATTGTCTCCATGACAACTATTATACTAGCAAACCATCTTCTGCTGGTTCTGCTGGACCTGAGACAAATTAGCAAATATTCCCAAAGAATAAATCATGATAATCTAATAAAAATAAAAATAACTCCAATTGGGGAAAAAGTTAAAGTGATTAAATGTGGTTTATTTAATATGAGATCTCTTTCCTCTAAAAGTCTGCTAGTTAATGGCTGGATCCTCAAGTCTGACTCACTGATTACTGCAAAGGCAGGTAATAATTACTCTTTGATCATTTAACCCTTAATTTCCCTCATCCAAAATTCAAAGCCAGAAAACCTCTTTCTGTAACTTTCTATCGTCCACCAGGTCCTTACTCTGAATATTTAGCTTTCAGAGTTCCTTTCTGATTTTTATTTTTTTTTACAGTGTCCTGTCTGGCGATGTGGCGATAACAATAATTGTCTTGATGTCATAAAGAGCCCAACAGATTTTACTTTCACCAGTGTAGCAGTACGGCTATCGCCATATAGCTCCACTTGTTTCATGCATATGATTTATTTTATTCTGATTATGCAGGGAGTTTTACAGTTTATATGAACACTGCAATGTAAATAGAGCAGAAGAGGAAAAACTGAAAAAAAGAAAATATGAAAGAAAGAGGAGCTGGAAAGGAGACAATGACAAAACATTTTCAGTCTGCTTCATCACCTGCAACGAGATGCAAAAAGAAGACATATCGTTATTGCTTATATTGAAAGAAATCATTATTTGCTTTAAACATTTGCTCCTAAAATGGTGTTGCTACTTTACCTTCCCAAATGTTAAAGTTTCAACTTGTTGTCCCTTTAATATTCTGCTAATTAACAGCTGACCAAACTATTTATCAAAAACCCAGTCTAATTTATCACACCGTAAAACATCTCTAAATCCTTTTTGATTCGTCTATTTAAGAATACCCCACCCCCCGATGATATG